TCCTTGTCCTCTCTTATCCACAGTGGTGGGCATCCTACTCCCCCCTTGTCTCGAGTAAGGTTGGGTACATCCTGCAAACAAAGATCCAACTACTTAAGGCTTCCCTAAGAACCTGGAGTAGAACCGTCCCTGGAAACTTTTCACATCAGAAATCAACCCTCCTAGCCTCTATCTAGAATCTCAACCTTCTGGAGGAATCACGTCCCCTCTCGACCTCGGAAGCCAACCTGAGATCCCACCACAAACAGGAATACCTCTCCACCCTCAAGAAAGAAGAGATCCATTGGCATCAGAGATCAAGAGTAAAATGGTTAAACCTTGGGGACAACAATATGGGCTTCTTATATCACATAGCAAATTGTAGGAGAAGGGGCAATTCAATAGCCATAGTCAAAGAGGACAATACCATCTTGGACCAACCATCCGAGATTGAAGCAGCAATCCTCTCCTACTTCCTGAACCTTTATTCGGCACCTTTCAACCCCAAGACCCAGGATGGGCGACCTATAGTTTAACCACATTTCGCCAAATTGGGTCCAGTGGTTAGAGCGTCCTTTCCCTTAAGGTGAGATCATTGCAGCAGTATCAGCCCTGGGCAAAGACAAAGCCCCATGCCTGGACGGCTTCCCAGTAACCCCATTCCACACCTTTTGGAACATAGGGCATTTTGCATAAAGCAATGAATGCTACCTTCATTGCTTTAGTCCCCAAGATTGAGGGTGCCGAGGAACTCAAAGACTTTCGGCTCATTAGTCTGGTCAATTCCACCTACAAGATACTTTCAAAAGTCCTAACCTCTAGACTTAAAGAAGTGCTCCCGTTTGTGATCTCCCCATCTTAGAGCGCTTTCTTTAAAGACAGGCAAATACTAGATGGGATTCTAGTTGCACATGAATGCATCCACTCTAGGCATCTTTTAAACAAACTAAGCCTTATATTCAAGATAGATTGGGAGAAAGCCTATGACCATGTTGATTGGTCTATTTTGGAAGAAACTATGACCAGAATGGGCTTCGGGGTGAAATGGCGCAAATGGATAAGGGCTTGCTACTCTCATCCTTCCTTCTCGGTGCTCATTAATGGCTCACCGAAAGGCTTCTTCCCGTCTACAAGGGACCTCCGGCAAGGAGACCCCCGTCCCTCTTCCTCTTTGCAATCTCAGCCAAAGTTTTTAGCCAATCAATTTCATGACTCTACCAAGCTGAACTTCTTTCAGGCTTTAAAAGTTTTCCTAGAGATCCGACCATAACCCACCTTCAGTATGCAGACGATACACTCGTCTTCATCGATACTATCCCCAAGGAGATTGCAACCCTTTGTCTCTTTCTTCAGATGTTTCGAATATGCCATTGGTTTCAGAGTTAACATGGAGAAATCCACCATGATTGGGGTGGCCTTAACCCTTGCTGAAACTAGAGCTTTAATTCTAGATTGGGATTGCAAGGTGGAAGACCTCCCAACCAATTACGCAGGTATGCCTTTAGGTTTTGGGCAAACCTCAAAAAAGGCAGTGGTCACATGTTGTTGATAACGTGGACCGCCCGCTAGAAGGATGGAAAGGGCGATATCTCTCTTTTGCTCGCAGGTCAACCCTTATTAAGGCGACCCTAGCCAACACCCCTGCCTACCTCATGTCCCTTTTCCACATGCCAATAGCTATTTCTAAGCGCCTAGAGCAGCACATGAGGAGCTTCCTCTGGTCAGGGAACATTAAGTACAAAAAGTTCCAATATCTTGGGACAAAGTATGTCAACCTAAGCATCTAGGGGGGCTTGGGCTTGGGATTCGCATCTCGAGGAAACAGAACATTGTTGTCCTCGAAAAATGGTGGTGGAGACTGACAAACCACAATAACCTGCTATGGACCCAAGTCATCCGCAGTAAATATAGAATCCACGCTACCCAATGGACGTCCAAAGGGAATGCTCAGTGTTTCAAAAAGCAGACCGCCCAGTGCCTAGGCGGTTCTAGGGGCCTGGGCGCATCGCCCAAGCCTAGGCGCCCAAAAAAAGCAAATATCCCTGAGTGCCCGGAAACCCGCCTAGCCGTCGGCCCAGAGGGTGAAATGCCCCTCGTTGAAGATATTTTTGGGTCATTTTTTTAATACTAAAGGAGAAAATTGTAGATTTTAGGTTCCTTTGAAACCTAAAACTCATTAAAGCCTCATTTAAAGAGAGAAAAACCCCAAAAATAAAAAAATTTCTACTAGGCCACCGAGGTTTTGGGCACCCACCTAGGCGCTGAGCAGCTTGGACCCCCCGACCGCCTAGGTGCCGCCTAACACTTTTTGATACACTGGGAATCGTCCTTCTAAGACTTCCGAGGCATGGAAATCCATGATGTCTCCCTTCTCTCTTTTCAAACAAAATATTGACTTTCACCCTCGGAGAGGAGACAGAATAAGATTCTGGTCAGATTTATGGGTGGGCCACACTCCTCTAAGGGACTCATTCCTGGCCCTCTTCTCTTTGGCTACAAATCCTATTGCTTCCATCGAGTAAGAGATGCCCCTCTTGGGCAGTAGAAGGGTCTGGAACCCATAGCGAGGAGTATGAATTTCTTTCCTTGTCTTCATTGCCACACTCTACCTTTCTGGCTCTCAATGGCACAGATAGGATAGTGTGGACCTCCTCACCCTCTGGCGTCTTCTCTGTGGCTTCTTTCTACAAAAACCTGCTGCAACCACCCAGCTACCCTCACAATCCCACTCCGGTGGTAAACAAGGTGTGGTACGCAATAGCCCCACCTAAAGTACGTGCTTTCAATTGGTTAGCATTCTCCGAGAAGGCACTAATTATCGATCAACTAAAACGAAGAGGCATTCCCATCCCGAATAGATGCATGATGTGGCTGTGTGAAGAAGAGAGCAACTCGCACCTCTTCATTGACTGTAGCCTGGCATTCAACCTTTGGAGCCGCATCCTTCGCCTCTTTGGACTCTCTTGGGTCATAACGGAGTCCTTTAAGGCACTCCTCTCTATGTCTTTAGACTCACACTTGGCCAAAAGCAGGCAAGCTATTATGGAAAGCTTCCATGGCTGCTACTATTTGGGTCATATGCCTAGAGAGAAAAGCAAGGATTTTCCATGGTGTCAAATGTGAACCTGCAGCACTCTTCAACAAGATCACAGCCCAAGTCATTTTCTGGGCTTCAAATCACAAAGCCTTTAAAGGCATTTCAGCAGCAACCTTCCTACAAGATTGGGAAAACCTCCTTAACTTCCACACACCAAGGATTGGAGCATTGGGCATGCAAATAACTGGTCTCCACCCCTGTTTTGTCTTGTTAAACTAAATTTCGATGGGTGTTCATTGGGAAACCCTGGCCCAGCCGGTGTTGGAGGTGCCTTCTGTAATCACGGAGGCAACATCTTGGCCACCTTCTCAGAGCCTCTCCGTCATTTTGACTCCCAATCGGTAGAATCCTTAGCTCTCCTAACGGGCCTCAAACTTTTAACCCTGTTTGGGGCCTACCTTTAATAGTGGAAGGAGATGCCCAAAATGTCATCACCAGGGCTTCAGGGAAATCTGTTCCCCATTGGTACCTTGCTCCGATTTATGATGAGATTTGGCACATTTGCAGGGGTACGGCCGTCTTATGGAGGCATACCTGGAGGAAATCAAGCGACCTGGCAAACCGTCTCGAGAAGGAAGGAGCGGTGACTCAAGTCCTAGAACTTCAAACGACTGAGGACTCGGATATTCCTTGAGGTTCCTCTTTTTGGTTCATAGTGGTCAGGACCTCTTTTTGGAACACGTGCTCCTCATGTACACCTTCATTATTGGGCATTTTTATAAGACCCACTCATTTTTTGTATAGGGCCTTTTGGTCTAGCCCATTTTTTGACGAGAAGCCCGTGCTTGTGGGTGTTCTCGTAGATACGATGTATACTTTTTTCCTTCTTTAATACAACAGTTAACAATTTCAAAAAGAAAACATCATTCCTTCAAAGCTAATTAGCTTCCCTAAAGAAAGGGAGGTCACCACCTCTCATAAGGACAACTACCATTCTCACTCTCACCAAATCAAACCCGATAATGACACAGATCCTCCTAGAAATCACAAAATGATCCATTGTCTACCTAGCCTATCCACACATTTAAGAGATAGACAATTGGAAACCCTGTACTCCAAAAATTGTTATCTATAAGGATCGAATGAGTGTGGTTAATCCAGATGTATAACCACCAACTGCCACGCTAGGGTCCTCAATTTGTAAACATGAAACAAAGTTTCAACTAAGAAACTACCCATACCATGCCTCTGCAGACTTACCATCAACATCTACTATTGTGATAAGGAAGATGTAACCCATCCGATTTGTTACCTTCCTTATCGCTATCGTCCCTCACAAAATAATCATTGGAAACCACATAACCCCACTCCATAATTTCGTAAGAGGAAAACGTAGCATGCTATAACAAAGCCTCATAACAATCCATAATGAACACATGAAGCTCATCAATCATAATAAGTAAACTTGCAAACCACCCAACTTTCAAGCCATCAACCCACAGTTTTGTAAATGTTCAACAATATATACACACACCACCTTCATATTGATGATGAAGGGGCAGCACGAAATATGGATCACAAACAAAGTTGAGGATAGCAGAATAAACCATTATGAATGAGCTAATGAACTTGATAAATGAGCAACTGACTCAATGGGCGAGTAAAGTACAATTTTTTGCCCTAAATTAGTTTGAAAGAAAGTATGATTAGTTGCTGGCAGACAACCAATGCTAAGCTAAATATTTCAGAGATGCGGTTTCACTTCCCACTCTAAGGTACCAGTTTTTACTTCAGAAAATAGTTCCATAACACTCTTAGCCACTCAGAAAAAAAAAAAAAAAAAAGGGAATCAAGAAAGAAGATGAGTTTTTCAAATCAAATAAAAATAAAAAATAATCAGAACAATGAGAATAAAAGAATAAATGCTTGACAGAGAGAGGGGAAGATATGGGTTTTGCTCAAATTCTGTTTTTAAGAGAGAGACCTCAGGAAGCCATTTCTCATTCTCAGCATCAGCCATAACAATGGAGAGCCAGTCTCCATTCCTATTCTCCATTTCCAATACCAAATTCAACAGAGAGTGGCAGAGCCTACACTTGGGCGAGTAAAACTCTATCACAGTGGCCTCCTTTCCTCTTGCCAATGCCATTGCCAAGGCCCTCAGCTCTGCCTCTCCCTGTCCTTCGGCAGACAACCCGTTCTTCTCCTCTCTTCCCTTTTGTCGTAAAAACCCATTGAATAGTGCATGGTTCTGTGCTATAATGGGCGATTTCAAAGAGGAATTCAAAAGGTTAACGGCCATACTTCCAATGAATTGCATGGGTTTGAAGAGGAACGGCGTTCTGGGTTCGCATACATTAGGGTCTTTATTATCCTGGTTGGGTTTTTGAGAAGAGGGGAGATACCATGGCCACTTGAGACAGAAGATGGGGTTCTTAACAGGGTCCATGAACCATTCACCCAGAAAATAGAGGCTCCATGAAATGGATTTCGTCGATCCAAGTCGCAGGAAAAATCGAACCGGAAGGATGAACCTTTTGAGCCTTCCTTTGGGAAAAGAGTGCGGTTTGTAGCATCGGTGCAACGGCTCTGTAGAGAAGGCAAAACAACATTAGAACCTTTTGTAGATGGTGTCGACACCATACTATTCAAGTGCGTGGCACCTCAAAACTACATTAGAACCTTTTGTAGAAGGTGTCAACACCATACTATTCAAGTGAGTAGCACCTCAAAACTACATCAAAACTATTTTGCCGGAACATGTAGGTTTGGTGGTGGAAAGTCTCGAGATGATAACCTGAATTATAAAGCTCTAACCATCACACAGGTTGAACATATCTATATTTGGGTGGATTGGCTGAGCTCTTTTTTTTTTCCTTTTCGTTTGAGGGTCTCTACTTTTTCTACTTTATCGTAAACTAACTCGTTCTTTTCTTTTCTTTTTTTTCTTTTGTTTGAGGTCTTTACTTTTTCCACGTTATCGTAAATTAACTCAATTTTATGAAGATTTAAGTTGATCGCATCCCAAAGATCAACGTGGATCGAAACATAAATACTATAAATATCGATGAATGAGTAAATTACATATGGGCAAGGTTTCAAGGGGCTTATTACAATATGAATCATATTTTTGCAAAAAGTACGTGGAGACCACCTCTACGTCATTGCCTTTCGTCTTTTTTTAGAATTGCTCATTTATTCCGCATTTTCAACACTAGACTGGTGGGAAATCCACAAGTTTTTATTCATCTCTATTAATCACATTGACAGGTGGGAAAATCCAATCATCTCTGTTAGTAAGGGGTTCTACAATACAATGAAAGCCGATCTCTATTAGTAAGGGGTTGTACAATACAACGAAAGCCGAGTTAGTTGTTTCTGATATCAGAAATCTCAACTTCCTAAGCTATATGGCATCAGAAAAACAAGACCTATTATAAGTAATTATAACTATTTATAATCTTATTATTCCATTAGTATAATAGAATTGATGTAATGTAATTAATTTTATTTGTTTCTTATTTCATTTATTATTGTTTGTATTTAAATGTATTTTATCTTCAATAGATTTTCCTTTATCTTTTATTTTTTATTTTTAAATTTTTAATTATTTCTATCCTATTTGTCTAATCTATTCTAGATTTTTCTTTTGCCATTTGATATATATATATATTATATATATATATATATATTATTTCAAGAAATTTTATTAAAAAATAAATTCAATTACAAATAATAATAAATAAAATAAAGGGAAAATATATCTATACCCTTGTTTAAGTTTCATTTCATAATAGACCCAAGGTTTTAAAATATATCTTATGGCATAAAAATTATATATTTTATTTCTTCTAACCCCCTTAGCTAATTTTATCTACTTTAAACATGTTTTTTTTAGGTCAAATAAATCTAAAAAGGCATGCCTTTTCTAAAAGTCATCTTTGCAAACTTCCCTCTTTCTCTCTCCCTGCAACCCTTGTCACTCTCTCCGTCTTTTCCATCTCTAACCCCTCACTATCTCTCCTCCCGCTCTCTCTCTCTTCATATTTCCCATCTCTCCCCTCACTCACTCTCCTCTCAAACACATATCCTAAAATACAGTAAGTACACAGAGAGAAAAAGATAACAGCAGATAGAGAGAGAAACAATCTTGAATCCATCTCTCTCCCCTCACACTCTCTTCTATGGGTTAGGCCAAAAGCTTGAATCCATTGAGCTCTTTGCCTTGAAAGCATCGGCTTAAGCTTTTCGGCCATGATAGGAAGCAAATCTTTGTACTCCATGGCTTGGTTTTGGCTCATTTTTGTTGTTTTTTTGCCCTTTTTTTTGTCATTATTTTGCTGGAGAAATAATGGGGCTCTTGATGGTGTTGGTTGACAAAGAGGTTTGGAGAGAGGAATTATAAAAGAGGGAGAGTATTTTATTGAGGATTTGAGCCAAGATGACGACAACACCCAATGTTGGTTATGCAGCTACCAGAAACTGCTATCCAGTTACCGTGAATGGATATCCAGTGGCTGGTGCTGCTTATCCAATTGCCAAAAAAGTCGAGTCATCCTCCTCAAAGCCCTAGTCTTCTTCATCATCTTCTCCTTATCCTCCTCAGAAGAAGGCCGATGAGCCTGATGGCTTATCTCGCCAATGCTGCCTTATCCACCGCCACCACAGAATTATGGGAACCCTCCACCCCCATCAGCAACTTGCTATCCTACTGCTAGCGGTTATCCACAGGCGGGTTATCCTCCTACAAGGTTGTACAAATATCCACCACCATGGGCGCCTCCGATTTGCTATCGGCATCCCCAAAAGCCAAAGAAGAGTGAGATGGGGGGATTAGGGCACGGGCTCGGGCTCGGAGTAGGGTTGTTTGGTGATGAGAGGTTATCAGGAGGAGAGAGAAATGTTTGGATAAATACATGAGGAGAGAGTGAGAGGGAGAGACGCAACAAGAGCGAGAAAGAGATAAGTTTGTGATATATAAGTGAAGAGAGAAATGATTGGGTTTAGAAAGAGCATGTATTTCTCACATTTGTTTAGGTTAAAAAATAGGTTTAAAGCGGCGTGGGGGTTGGAATATATATTTTGAAACTTTGAGTTTATTAATAAATGAAACCTAAAAATAAAGGATATAGAGATATTTTTTCTGAAATTTATTGTATTACATCAATTCTGTTATACTAATTAAGTAATAAGAATTTAAATAATCAATTATAATTGGTCCAGTATTTCCAATGGCAGACCACTTAGAAAGTTAAGTTGTCCAAAATTAGAAACACATAACAAAAAGTTGTTTGGTGTTGCAAATATCGAACAGGCCTTGAGTACAATAAATGTTTTCAAAGTTGAGTTGTCCGATGGTACAAACATGAACAATGTGTCTACTAGATGTTGGTACTACCAAACATGCCCTTGCAAATAGAGTTGTATAGGATTTCCCGCTTGTTCGGTGTTGAAAATGGTTGATAGGTGGGCAGTTTTGAAAAAAAATAAAAATAAAAAAGATAGTCTCCATATAGTTTTTGCAAAAAATATGACCCATACTATTATAATAAACAAGTTGAAACCCTGCCATGTGTAATTTTTTCATGACATTTTGAAAATGAACCATCCGGATAATACATTATAGGATGCCATGTTTTCATGACTTGAATTTCTTTTTTTAACATCTATTGAGATGATCAATTTGAGGGTTTTTTAGCTTCAAAACAACATTTTATGATGGGTTTTTGAGTTGCACCTTACTTCAATAATATAAGGTTGAAACTTCATATAAATATTTTTCGTGGAAATTATCCTAAAAAGAAATTTATTAAATCAGTCATGAACTATTTAACATTTTACCTATTTCAGCTCAATATCATGTGTTGTTTTATGGATATTTTGAAATTAAATAGAAAAATATGGGTAAGGTGTCGAAATGTTCGACTCTTATGGGTAAACTAATAAATTTCATGTTCATTTAACTGGTTGAAACCCTACACAAAATCTTTAAATAATCCTAAATAATATTTGGGTAGTTGCCCTTCTGAAAAGTATGCGTGAGTGTTGAGGGTTGGAATAAAACTGTTTACTTCCTAATAAGGAACAAAGCCTCAGTCCCACCACGCAACAAAGCCTCAGTCGCCATCATTTTAAGTGAGAGTCCATTTTCGATAGATAGAGGCACTTTCAGCTAAGGGCCAGGGCAAAAGCCCGAGCAAATTTACTTTCCGATTACAAGCTTCTTCGAATCCTCATTCTACCGGTAACAAATCGATCATTCTATCATCTATGAGCTTTATTTTTGGATATGTAAAGTTTTTGGGGGTTTTGGTTTCGTATGAAGTATGGCATATACGAAATGGGTTTTAGGTTTTTCTCACGTATTGAGAGCTCTATCGCTGGATTAGTGAATTGGTTTTTATTTTATGGATTTTTTTTTCATGGAATGAATGAATTGGGTTTTGCTGGTTTGTTGTGAGTTGCAGAAGGGTCTTTGCATGTTTTTGTAAGATATAAATGGGGTTCCGTTGGGTTTTGGTTTATGCTATACAGACGTGTTTGATAACGAGAAGCGTCTTTTTGAAATTTGTAGCTTATCTTTGATCGATAAAAAACCGGAACGAAAAAAAACCGGAAGTTAAGTAGGGAACTTCACTTAACTTCTCATCTTCCCCGCGCTTTGTGTGTTAAAAAGAGCTGGACCAAAAGTCGGAACTTGAAATCGCAAGTTTTTATAAGACTTCACCCCCGAAGAGTTGTGCCGTAGGTTCTTCTTCTTGTGCTGTCAGTTGCGCCACCCCTCTCTTCGCACCACGCTGCTACCAGCCTGAGCCCTCTCTTCGCACCACGCTGCTACCAGCCTGAGCCCTCTCTTCGCACTCAGGCCTCGCTACGGTTTACTCATCTATCAGCCGCTGAGCCACCCCTCTGTACTTCGCTATCGGCCGCTGAGCCTCCTCTCTCTTCGCACCACGCCGCTATCAGCCAGACCCCTCTCTTCGCACTCAGGCCTCGCTAGGGTTTACTCTTGATCTCTGATCCTTGCTATTGAGTACTGTACTTCTCTTCTCTATCACACTCGAGGGTCCAAGAAGACGGAGGAGGAAGCAAAGAGCTCTGATTCTCTCTGTGTTATTCATCTTGAGGTATGCTATTGAGATCTGATTTTCTTCATCTTTCTCTCTCTTTTCCTTGGATCTCTTCCTTGAGCTCTGATCTGTGTTCTTTATGTTTCTCGAGGTATTTGCATGCCTCCAACTGCCCTAACTACGGAGAAGAGACCATCTTGCGCTTTCTCTTTGCGCTTACGAGCCTCCTCGCAAAGGTACATCTCAGTATTTTCTCTCTCCCTTGCTTTCTTTTCTCTCTAGTTTTTTCTGTATCCCATGGGTTTTTTTGCTCTCTGATTTTTTTCTCCAGGTTTCGAACATGGTGAAAATGGATCCCTCGATTTTTTTCCTGTACGATCAGTTTATTCTCTCTCTGGTTTTTTTTCTGATTTTACAGATTTTTCGCAAATGTTTGTTTTTTTTTTTGTTTATTTGGCTTACTCAGCATAGACTTTGATCAGTTGATTAAGATTTTTCTGAGTTGCAAGGGGGTGAGTTCCTTCTCCTGAGCCCCATTTTCAAACTTGGTTAAAGCAAAGTGATTTGGTCTTGTGAAATTTGTTAATTGATTGCATCTTACTCGAGTTAGGCATTTCATGTTTTTCTTCTTGGCATATTTTGAGTTAATTTGCAGCATGTGTATTAAAATTTGAGATGAAGTCCAAAACTTTTGTAGAATGTGATCTGCACCAAAGAAATGATATGGACAAGTAACGATAGGGGAAACAAATCAGGCGAAGAGCATTTTATTAAAGGAATTAATGCCAATTGATTTATGTAAGTGCTGTAGGAATTGTGTGAGATTTATTTATGTATTCGGGGTTTGTTTTATGTATGTGCTGTAGGAATTGAGACTTGTTTCTCTTTGTATGCCCATTTACACCTCCATTAATGGGCTTATTGTGGTTTTTGGCCTCTTGAGTTTGACTACTTGTTTTAGTATTGTGTTCAGAAGGGGTTTGGAATTCCCTTTTTTTTTTGACATGAGTAGGGATTTCGTATTCTTGGTTCATGCTTTTGTGTTTTCGCTTTCTGTTTGTACATGTGGGGAGTTAGGAGAGGGAAAATTGGTTTTCTTGGGGCTTGGCTGAAACGTTGGTGGTTTCCAACAGTTGGATTTATGCATAGGTGGTTCCTTTGTTGGGTCATGTGTTAAAGGGGAAAGGGGATTGTACTGGGTGATTAGATGTTCTTGTTGGTCATAAGGCCATTTATTAGATAAGATTGATGAGTAAACAGAAGCCCGCCTGGGTTTTCATCAACAGATCCACAAAATCAGATGAAAAGGGAACTAAGTGAAATATATTAAGAATGTGACAAGTGCTATGCTTGCATTTTTATCCAGCAATGTCCATGGAACTTCTTGACTTTGATTGTTTCTTTCGTCTTCTTTTTTTTTCTTATTCATTCTTATAAACTGGCCAAATAAGGATTCTATAAAAAAAAATTTAAAAAATAATATCTAGGTCTCAATTTTAACATTTCACATCTTGCCTATTAGTTCTAAAGCTAAACTAATACATATGCCCATAACTTCTTTAACTTCCCAAGAGGTTATCAAACAGAGAAACCAATAACTTCTTTAACTTCCTAGGAGGTTATCAAACACAGAAACCAGGAACTTCTTTAACTTCCCAGGAGGTTAACTTCTTTAACTTCCCAGGAGGTTAGCAATCCCAGGAGGTTATCAAACATAGATTCCAGGAACTTCTTTAACTTCTCAGGAGGTTATCAAATACAAAATCCAAGAACTTGTTACAGTAACTTCTATCTTCCCAACAAGGAAGAACTTCTAATTTACAGTTCATGAACTACTTTCCAGTTATCAAACAGGCCCTAAATGTTCATAGAATACAGGAAGTAGTAAGTATTCTGTTATTGGTGGGATGGAGTCTGGGATTTAGGATTGCAAGTTCTATGAACCTGTCATAAATTTGGAGTATAAATGAAGTCTGATCACATCTTTGATCAAATCTCTTTACACAATGATGAATATTGGTTATACATCTTCAAATAAAAAATTCCTTATTTGAATGCATTTCAATACCTTAAAAACCTATTTTTGTAGGTTTACACTAGAAAAGGGTGGGAGTTCCATTGACTCAATTCATACTAACAGGGTGTTACACCAGACAATGCATCAATCCTCTCACGACCTTCTGTTAGAATTACTGTATTTGTTATCTATTAATCATTCTCTGCAAGTAAAGAGTGACTTCCTAACTTTCCATAACCAATAACTTCAAATTCTGCTGCCATCAAGCTCCTATTCCATGTACAGAAAATGCAAAATTTTCAATGATGACCTGAAATTTGTTCATGGCATCATGTCGAACCAAGTGAAATAACCACACAGTGTTCAATCGGTTGGTTCAGAGAGGACCACATCAGGCCTGATCCAGCTCTAAGGTCCAACCAGATCGGAACGGGATTCAATTCAACTAAAATCAGATCCAACAAGTAAACTTATCTAGTTATAAAAACAATCCAAATTAGTGAATCAAGGCTGCAAGGTATTACAATTCACAACCTCATGGAATTCCTATTAGAATTTAAGTGTCCATTTTTTCATTTTTGGCTTTCAGATATTATCATTTCTATGCAACGGAACATGACTAGAGTTCAAGAAACATGAATAATGAGGCTGCTAGCATCATTAAAAGGTAAAACGAATTAATTATGATCACATGAAGGAATAAGAATCCTGGCCATAGCAGTCTTTGAAGCTATAAATAGATGCCAATGTCATGGATTATTACTTCAATAGCATGTACAAGTTATAATGATCATAACATACTTAGATTAGCATTTAGACAAGGGACAATGGCCTAAGGGTTATGGAAGCGCTTGCCCATCATGCTCATCACTTAATTGACATAACAAGTATCTGTGCTACAACATAAGAAAAGGAACGGTAAATGAATCCCATATTACTTAATTGCACACCAAAGATGATTATTATTTTGTATCCACTTTGGTCTGTAATTCCGAGGCGATGAGGATGGCTAGTTACTTTGATATGACATAGAGCACAAAAAAATCTCATAGTATCAATTGTGCCATCTTCTTCGGTCAACCAACACCAATAGCTAGCAATAGCACAAGAGAAGAAGAAGGGTCGTCACAACCCCACTCACTCACTCACTCGTTTGGCACTCTCTTTCTCTTAGTGTTTCCCACCCGCTTAAATTTATCTCGTATCTACTTTATTTTATCTAGGTCTTTGTGGCCTTCAGATCTCTTGCATACTATTTCCTCTGTTCTTGTCTGTCTTGTCGTTTCTCCGCTTTCTTATCTCTCCTTATGCCCCATTCTATTACTTCTCTATTTCTGCAGTTTTTGTTTTTCTATGATGTGGAGGCCCCTCTTTCTCTCAATTGATTTGTGTTATAATTTTCTCAGTTTTAGAATAGACAGGATGCCAACATTCATGTTGTTGTTTTTCTGTTGATTTGAGTATGGTACAAGTGCTGCTTTACATCGATGTAGTTATGCAGTTTCTTTCATGGAGCATTTGTTTGGATGGAAACTCTTTTTTGGTTTTGATGATAGTTTCTTTGTTGTTCTTCTTCTTCTTTTTTGTATTTTTCCTTTCTATTTATTGCATTTTTAGTATAGTTCGGTTTTGCTTTTGGTTTTGTAATTTCTTTTTTTTGTTCTCTTTTGGTTTTAGGATTTGAAGGGAGAAGAACTCTGGATTGTTGTGGATTTTTATTATTTTCTTTTTAATGGCTTGTAGATCAGATATCTTACAAGTTTTATTGGCCTTTAGGATTTCGATGGATTTTGCACTTGAGGTTTCTCATGAGCTTTGAGTAGTGTGGGTTAGAGCTGTTTCTTTTTGTTCTGTTTTCTTTCTGAAATTTACCAGTAAAATTTCATTAATTTGTATAATGTACAAGTATTGTAACTTTAGATAAAAAATGTGTCCTTGGGGCTTTTCAGATTTACGTTTGACTTGCACTGGTTCGGGATCACCTGAAGTTGCCGATCGGGCAATGCCACCCTTCCAACTGGGTGTGCAATGATATACGAGTACTGATACTGTAGTAATTCCTCGCCATGGCCCGACTGATGGCTGCTTCTCTGCCAAGGTGGATGATCACATATATTTCTTCTTGAATATTCCACACATGCAAGAGGATCCCATGAATAGAGAGATGCCATAGGAAACTGCCAAGACATGGAGGGGGAGGGAAGATCAGAACTTGAATAGAGACTCAACTGAGTTCGGGCTCACACAATAAAAATCCAATAGACTTGAAAATAGGACCTCGCCCTTTTGTAGTGCCTACATTTGTATCATATTTTATTCAAATAAAATTTTGTTGTTTTTTTAAAAATTTTCTAAAGATATCCCCTGCGCACATGTAGTTTGATGCTTCTTGAGTTTTGAGTTGTCTCCAACAACGTAGAGCCTCTTGCTGTATTGGTACTGCATTAAACAGGAAAGTTAGCATATTGGTACGAGTTGATTATTGGAATCTGTGAGTGATTACTGTAATTATTTATATGATTCGAAGTTTCAAAAAAGAAAACCTCTATATGATTCGAATTAAACTCATTTTAGCATGGTTCTATGCCATTTCTGGATATCATGATTGTTGCCTACTGTTGGTTCAAAGAGTTGATCCTAAATAAATATATGTTGCTTTGATTAATTGTAGTTAAACTCAAGATATCGACTGTGTGGATCTATGGGAAAATGTAATTGTTTGTTTCTGTTTCATCTATCTGGAAATATTATTGGGAACGAGGAAGATGAGAACTTTTAAGGTTGCAGATTACATTTTACTAGTCTGTTTAGATGATTTGCTCCTTTCCACCTTTTTTTATCTATAATTTGCTCTTACCGTGCATGCTACTTGAAAATTTATGTCTCAGGTGGTTTGAAGGAGGATGTTATTCATAAAAGATCTCGTGCCTACAGCCTCAAACTCTGTAAACACTAGATTTATAGTGCTGAACAAGTACAACATGGGAAAAGATACGGGGCCCCAGAGGACATGTTTAGCCCTTGTGGCGGATGAAACAGCTGCTGTTAACTTTCAGCTATGGGGAAGTGAATGTGATGCAATCCAAGCTGGCGACATTATTCGCCTTCACAATGGAATCTTTTCTTACCATCGAGGCAAGCTTGTGCTAAGAGCAGGGAAGAAAGGAAAGATTGAAAAGGTGGGGGAGTTCACGATGCTATTTGTTGAAAGTCCCAACATGAGTGAGATGGCAGCCCCAGCCGTTGTCAAGGCAATAAGAGACCCGTGAAGACTTAATCAGAAACACTGATAATTTTGTATCAAAATGGCAATAGGAAAGGATAAACTGAATAGAGCTGTAACCCCCGTCACTTGGGATGCAACCGATAATTTAAGAGTCCCAACATGAGTGAGATGGCAGCTCAGTCAAGAAGAGACCCGTGAAGACTTAATCTGAAACACTGATAATCTTGTATCAAAATGCCAATAGGAAAGGAGAAACTGAATAGAGCTCTGACCCCAGTCACTTGGGTGGATGGAACCGACAATTTCATGGTTGTGGCAAAGGATTACCAATAAAGCTGCACTTTGGCCAATGAGGCAATTTCTCAAATCATCAAATTGTCCACGATTTTCTGTTGAGGATCCGGCTTGTCACTTGTCCCGTTGTTATAATCCGTGGTTGCTCTCACCTGTTTTCAACAGGGAAAAAAAAGATTGGTTGCTTCTTGTGGAATCCATGTTGTTTAGGATGATGTGTGGTCCAATTGATCTATGACTATCTACTCAAGTACCTGATGTATGAAAATAATCAAACCCAAATCCCTTAGGAAAAAGCATCACAAAGCATTGTACACCTTGAAAGGTCATAGGGCATTTGGTTTTCCCTGGAAAGTCACTTGGGCATGTCTTTTGAAAAATCAGGGGAATATGAGCTCTTTGACTCCCCACATGGGAATGTTCTAGGCTTTGTTTGCCATAGGTTATTCCATGTTGTCCTTTAACTTTTAACTGTGTCTAAGTACTTCAAATGTTTTTTCTTGTCATACAGTTTATTTTATGTCAGGAAGATACCTGGGAGTTCTTCCAAACACTTTATTTTTAACCGCTTCAGAACAATAAAGCCTTTCTTCTTTCTTTCTTTTGTTTTTGAAATTTATCAAAATATACGTGATGTCACCTATTTCCTTTAATGAAAGAGGGTGAGATTTTGGGCAAATCTAAAGTAGTTCAAGATTTTCATCTGTTTATAGAACTACTCGACTTAAAACCATTTTTTGAGTTTAAAATTTTATAATTAGAATGAACAAATTTTCAAGCCATCTTAAGAATTTTTTACACTAAAATTGCATTTGTGATAAAATTTGGAGGTGCACTTTAATTTGATTGTTTAAGGTTGCAACATCATGTAAATCACACCATGCTGGTACAAGTGTATATTGTTCTCATATTAACTCATAGTAGTCGTAATTGTCACCACTCCATCCATACTCGATAATGGTGGGATGGCGTGTTGCATACAAATAGTGGACTACATGGCATTTAGTCAATTTCAGGAAAAATTTATATGACCTGTAGTCCACATGATATAATACCATTTTTTATTGTCTATTAAAAGTACGATCTGGTCAGACTTGAAACTCTCAAGAAGCCGGCAGTTTAACAAGTTTGATATATCAGAGGGTGCGGTGTATAGAGGGTGCGGTTTATACAAGGAAGGAATGTTGCAGGTGGTTATGTCCTATGCCATCCTTTTATTTGGACAATGTAAGTTTGATGTCTTCTAAGATAGTATCAAAAAAGTTATACATCTTAGAGAAAGGTTTCTATACTTCTCTTGTAGCATAGAAGTCCTATCCTCTTCTTACCATCCAGCTGTCCAATTTTGATCAAGGGAGCCACTCACCGTTTGATCTTAGATCCGACATCTTAAAGTATTTTATTTAGCTTTTTTATACAAATTGTATGAATATAAATTTTGGTACGTATCATCTTCTCATTGGGGCACACCTATAAAAAATATTGTTTAGATAAAATATAATGACTAAATACCCCTTGAAACTTTCAGGGGTATTTTGGTCATTTTATTTTATTTAAATTTTTTGTTTCTTTCACTAGTGCGAGTATAATAGAGGAATGGATGTCCAAAATTTGGTGTCAAAATAGTTTATAGAAAAAAATTTAAAATAAAATAGTGTAGAGACGTAACATTGTGATTGGGGTAATCTTAGCCCTCCGTTCAGAATGGACAGTTGGATAAGGGAGAGGAGAGAACTTCTATGCTGTAGGGGAAACATAGAAAGCTTGCACTACATCTTAATGGTATCAGTCTACTCCATTCGAATAAAATAGACCATGTATATTAATACAACCTTAGTTCTACAAATAAGGTTACATCCATGTATAAACTTTTTTCCTGTTGAAAAAGGTGTGGTTTATGGAAGGGAACAACCTTGTAGTAAGGTTGCAGCATTCTACACCACTCAATTTGATTTGCCAAAGGCCTTTCATATTTTCTTGACAATTGAGTGGTCCTTAACTAATTTTAAATTGCAAATAGTGTTGGAAAAACTTGAAGAACATTGCATTGATAAAATCAAGCTAAATATAAAGGTACAATAATAAAGGAAAAAAAGTTCCAACCTTAAAACAATCAAAACAAGGCACACATCCAAACTTCGTCGTAGGATGCAATTTTGGGGTTGAAATTTTTAAGACAGCATGAGAATCTATTTTAATCTCTACTTATAATATTTTAAACTCAAAAAATAGTTCAAGTTAAAAAAATCTATAAATTGATGAGAATATTGAAAATGGACAATCTAGATAATGTATTGCAAGATATAACCATTTTGTAAATTTGAAATAATTTTTTTGCCCGTATCCATTCATCTCAATTTTGAGATGATCAACATCAAAATAGCATCTTTGATGAAGTTTTGAGGCGCATTTTACTTTTACAATTTAAGGTGTCAACCTTATATAAACTTTTTCCTAAAGATCCTAAAGATCCTAAAAAAGTAAAAACCACAAAACAATTGACTTAGTAAGAATAAATTAAAAGAGATATAATTAAGAATGAAATAAAAGAGAGAAAAAGAAACAAACAAACTGGGCCAAGTATAAGCCAAATCTCTAGCCCAATCAGTAGGACAGCCACGTGGAGAACCTCGAGCTAATGGTTCACTTCTTAGCAGGGGGCACAAACATTTCTCTTCCTATCCCCCATATCTCAAATTAAGTTAGAAAATTGATGAAAAACATTTGACTCAACAAAGTGTAGGAAATATGTTTACGAATATTTTCGAAACGGTAAATCGATTTGTGCCCAAGGATAGTTTTGAAATTTTCCAAAAAACAGGAAAATGTAAAAATAAATATTAATGGCCAAAACAATTTCCAATGTTTGAGAAAATGATGAAAAATTAAAAAAAGACATTACAAAACAATATCTTATTTTTTAGGAATTTACATCAAAATTTTTAATTTTTTAAAATACCTAATCAGTTCCCCAAAACCAACAGAAACTGAAACCAATAGCCGGTTCTGGTCTAACCGGGTGGATAGAATTTGAACCGCCCGATTTTTTACACTGCTCTAAATTTTTAGAGTTCAAAGAGAGCCATCCGTATCGCTTATATGTCTATCTTAAGAGACTCCTTCAGGTTCCACAAGAGCTTCTCATTCTTTTCACAAAAAATTCAATTATTCTTAAAGTTGTGAGAGCTCTTCAACTTTGAACAGTGAAAGTAAGCCATTATCCACCAATTCAACTTGCATTACACCTCATTGATGAAAGCATGCCTCACGCACAGCTACCATATCCTTTCATCTTCATACCTCTGGTTGTACAATGTAGAGGAGCAAGTGTTATTTTCACAATATATGAATTACAAAGTCAAATTTTTTATGGATTGCCATCACGTTCTGTATGGGTGTGAAATTATGCAGAAACCACGTAAGTGCTCAATGTATACAAGAAAATTTGGAAGAAGTATGCAACGATGATCCGAATCACATAAAATGAGCTGTTGTAAATGAATAAAAAGCTTCAGAATGAATTACATGAAGCGTTCAAAGCCCCACTGCAGGCCATTCAGTGATCAACCCAATTACAACAAGCAAACCCCATAAAATAAACAGAGGGGGGGCTTTCAACAAGGCAAAGCCACCCACGCTAGCCTTGGCGAATTGAAATGAGACACCACTGGATCACTCATCTTGATAATAAGGCTCTTTGCTCCTCTGAAGAACTGCGACCATCTACACAAACGGGAGGCAATAAGTAGATGAGAGAGTTCACAATCCTAGAACAACTCAGAAAAAGCAGTGGGCAATCAGGCCAAACATATGGTAGGAAAACAAACTGATAGTGTCTGGATCAATAACAAGATATCCCCTTCCCATCTTCACTTCACCAAATATGGAGACAACAATCCGAACATAGATTTCTTCGCTTCAATCCTTTGTTAAGCCAACATCATCCACCTTGGCATTCTTATGCTGCAAAATTAAGAGGAGCGGGGGGGGCGGGTGAAGAACATTCATACATCTTTGAAGCTAAAATCCATTCGAACAGCTTAAGATTAACAGGCAGTAAAAATCGTCTCCTAAAAAGCAGCAAACAAATCAACTGCAGCTGCTTGATGCAACATTTGAAACAATATTCAAGAACAGCATACCTTCTTTTTCTTGTGCCTGTGAATATCACCATACTCGTCATGATCATCGTGCTTCCTTTTCTGAGAGAGAGAATACAATTTGAGCCTCAAAACTAAAATGAGATTAAAAAGGAGAAGACCATATAAGAACTAACCATGTCCTGATGCTTTTTTTGATTCTCATCACCATCACCATTGCTCCCACCTTTATCCTTCTTTTTCTTCTCCCTATCTTTATCTTTGCTCCTGTCTTTGTGCCGACGTTTGTGCTTCTTGTGCTCCTTATCTTTATCCTTGTCTTTGTGTTTTTTGTGCTTTCTATCTTTGTCAGTGCTCTCAACTTTTGCTTTCGCACTAAAAGTGAGGGTTCCTTTTTCGACCTATTTCAGGCACAAAAAGAAAAGCGTAAATAGTATGTTCCTAAGATTCTACTCTGAAGTATGAAAAGAATGTCAAGGGCATAAACATTAAAACATACAGCAGGTAGTTCAATTGGTTCAGTTTCTCTGAGCTGAAATGCCTGTCTCAGAGTGTCCAAGTCAAAAGGCCGTATGCGCGAATCCAGATTCCTCAAGGTTGACGTGGTGTGGAAAAGTTGATCCAGTTCCATTCCTTCCCCTTTCCTGATTTCTGTGTCTCCCACAACATTGTGAAGATAATGTGTATCTGAAATGGACAAAGGCAAGGATCTCTTGCAAAAGAAATCATGGTGTGCCCACAACTTGTAGTGATTCAAAAGATCCACAGCACCTGTGAGCTCTCTGGGCCCTAATATTCAAGATAGTTTAAGGCATCAGATACCAGAAAAGGGTAAAATATAAGCGAAGGTGGAAGCTCATCCAAAAGTATCTAAGCATAATGAACAACTTCAGATTCCACATAAACATGGAATTGTGTTTTTTGGTAATGCTTCACTGGCAATGAGAAAATACTGAAGTTCTTCATTACCAATATAGTTTTACTACTTTGTAATTATTTTTAAAAACCAGACCTTTAAATTATCTGCCAACTGTAAATCATACGATTGAATGACACCTCATGAGATTCAGCAGGAAGTGGTGAACTTGGATCAAAGGCTGCATCTCAGCAGCATATTTCTCGGTGCTAAGAAATGGTAACCCCCAAGGTCTCTTCCTAGCCACAAGGGGACCCATTGTCCCCCTTTCTGTCGGCAACAATTGCTAAGATCTTTAGCAGGTCCATCTCAAAACTGTATAGCCATGACTTAGTCAAAGGGTTTCAAAGCTCCAGAAGAGGCCGAAACATCTCTGACATCCAATACACAGACAATACTCTAGTCTTCTTCTATCCCACTCCTCAGCATGTAAACATTTTCATCCGAAATGGTAATGCTTGCATTTCAGTGAGGAAAATAGTTACAGTATACAAGCATCCCAGAATAAGGTTGCTCTATTCATTGCAAGAAGGGGTACTTGGGATGCTCTATCATAAAGGGTATATGAACCCTGAATAGCAGAGGAAGAAGAAGAAGAAAAAGTTAATGGAACCAAGCTCAAAAAGGTGCCAAAAGGGTTCCGTAGCAATTTCCAGATCTAGCTCTTTTTATGCCAAGAGTGTCCACAGTAGAATAAGCCTCCTGCCTCATATGCTAAAAGTAAGTATGCATATGCCTGCAAGGATCAAATACTTGTTCAAATAAGTGCATAAGCAACCAAGGACAAGGATAACCACCAGACACCCAAGATATGTAGCTCTTTGAGTCGCCCTCAATGACCAAAAAGTTACACCATTCTTGGTTGAATTTTTTATGCCCTTGATGAGAGCCAAAGTTTCGGCCATTGTGGAATCAGTATGCCTACTGAAACCTAAGAAACAGAGCAGGGTATTTTGGCTGACCTCTAAAAAGTCCGCCAAGACCAGCTGGCCAGAGTTGTAGAGTGAGCACCCTTCAAAGTTAGGTTTGACCTGTCCAAGGTCATGGGACCTCCATAAGGACGACCAAGAGATTTGAAGAGGCCTAGCTTTTAAGATGGCCAGCCTATTGTTGCAGAAATTTGTGGTAGCATAGCAATGGCAATTTTTAGAGTTTTCAGCCCAAGAGATCACCACAGCTTTGATTCAATATTTTAGAGAATTAGAAGTGCTCTCCCTCGCCTCAAAAATTCTGGTATTTCTTTCAGTCCAGAGCACCCAAATTGTTGCATCCAATGAAGCATGTAAAAGGTGAACGCAAAAAGGAAGGTATTTGGACTTCTTGTGATTATTCTTGAGATGCTTTGAATAGTCTACAGGAAAGAAGATTAATGTGGCCAAGACCAAACTGATGGGAGTGGGTGATGTAGTGGGTTTTTAATTTTGATCTTATTTTAATTATCTCTTTAGGTACCAAAACTAGGTTTTGTTTATATGGTCTTTTATCTATTTAAGTCAGGGTATTTAGATTGTCTTTAGTTGTAGAGAATTGAGGGGTAGAGTTGGAAGTTTTATTTTTAAAAGATGAAATTAAGATTTAATATTGATTACGGTTTCTTAAGCAGCAAGTTAGATTTTAGAAATTTTTTTCTATAAATATGCAAATGTTGGAAAATAAAGGAGAAGGATGTTTTTTGGGCCTTCTGAAAAAATCTTTTTGGGGTGGACTCTCCTGTAGACCCTGAGATAAGGTACAGTTTCTCACCCTTTTTAATTTGCAATTTATTTTCTTTCTTCCTTCTCCCTACATCAATTTCTTTTCTTTCTCCCTTTTCCCCTACATCTGTGGGAGTGGATCAGGCCATGGTAACGAACTCTGCAAGAAGGATGGGATGTGGGGTGGACGCAATCCCCACTAAGTACCTCAATCATTCTCTTAGCTTGGGTATGCCACACAGAGGAGTTTGTCAGCATGGAATGGAAGGTTTCCATTCATTGAAGCAGGCCAATTCTAATAAAAGCAAACCTATCAAATATTGCAGTATATCACATGCCACTCTTTAAAATGCCTGTGACCATTATAAAAAGAATCAAACAAATGATGAGGGATTTCATATTGGCAGGGGAGGGTGGATCTCAAAAAACATCCATCTTGTCAATTCAGAAATAGTATATATGGGTAAAAAAGAGGGATGTTTGGCATTAGGAGGCTAAAAAAAATTAATTCAGCACAGCTGGGGAAATGTAGTGGCCCTTTACGACTCAGGAAGCAAGTTACAGAAAGAAATTATAGAACACAATCACGAACTTGATGATTCAGACTGGCTGCTCAACAGTTCATCAATATACAAATGTCAGCTTTTTTTCTTTCTTTTTTGGTGAACAATGACAGGAGTTAAAAAAGGAATCTCATCAACTTACCTGAGCTTTATCAGTTGACTCAGGTTCGTAGTGAAATCAGGGTCTCAGTTTTGAAAATGGAAGGATACATGGCTGGGCTACAGCTCATTGGTTGCTTGATTCCCAGGTCCTTTTATGTTACAAATGGATCAGGGAGTCACTATTTGACAATCTTATGAAATCAATGGTGGTCATCTGGCATGGTTACTGAGCTTAAGGAGAAATCTAACCAGAGCAGAGACATCCAAGTTAGAAGCAACTCCTGTTCCTTCTCAATACCCAATCCAAACAACAGCATGTCAAGACAAAATAGTGTGGAACCAGCCTCATTGCACACCTTCTCAGTGTTATCATTCTATGACCAACTACAGTCTAGCAATGAACCACCACCAATTTCGAGTAACGTGTGGTCAGTTCCTGATCCACTGAACATTTAGGTCTTCACCTGGCTCATCATTCGGCAAAAAGCCCGCACTCGACAACATTCAGCAAAGGGACATCATATAATGAACTGGTGTATCATGTATAAAGAGTGTGGAGACCATAGGCCATCTGCTTTTACATTGCCCTTTTGCCTAGCAAGTGTAACCACTCATCCCCGACCTGTTCAACAAGGGTGGGGTGACATCTAAGTTGATGCAACAACTGTTTGCAATTCTTGATTACGCTACCCAGCACAGGCATCTTCCTTTGGCATTCCTCCATCATTGCTTTGGATCATTTGGTAGGAAGAAAATAGGAGGATCTTTGAAAGTAGAGTATCACATATCGACAGCAGAAAGGGTAAGATAAAAGCTTTAATCATTTCTTGAGCTGCTTGGCATAAATAGCTGAAGTGTCTCTATATCTGATTTTGCACCTAACTGGAAAGCAATCACTTGTAACTAACACCTCCAGGAGAAATACCTCACTCCACTTATGGTCACCTCCGGAAGCCAGCACCATCAAAACTAAATTTTGATGGTTGCTCCCTTGGCAAACCAGGACCAACAAGCGTAGTGGCATATAAGACATCATCTTAGCACTCCATTAAAGGTTGCCTACACCATAGTTGTGGATGCAAAAGTGCTACTAGAAGGGCACAAGCCATTTGACAGAAGTTGGGGATCCTCGCTTATCGTCTAAGGCGACTCCAAGAATGTTATCATTTGAGTAAAATTTCAACCAAATAACCAACATATCAAGTTTCCTTCAAGTCTCTTTAAGGCACACTCAGAGAGAGTCTAACAAAGTGGCTCATTCTCTATCCAGGGATGGGACTACAGGTATCAGTTTTGAAATTAATCGCTCTCCTGCATAAGAGGCTTTTTGCGTTTTGTTTCAATTCAGGCACCACAAGTTTTTATAGAACACATATTGCTCAGCATTTGTGAGCTGGGATAGGAGACAAATGTAAATCCTTTTTTGAACATCAGACAAATGTAAACCCGTATTATCAATTCCGACGTACAGTCAAGTTTATTGGAAATCATCGAATTCAATTTAAATATGAAAATGAATTTTCTTTATCAAAAGAAATTTCAACGAGTCTCAACTAAATCAACACCAAACTCCTGCTTGCTAGCCAGAAATTTTCTTTCACACAATGGCAATACTGTGAAAACCTTATCAAACAATTATTAAATGATAGCATAACTACCTTGTGAACATACTATCACGCATCTCCACTGATGCACCTGTTTGAGGGGGGAGGAGGAGGGTGTTAAGATGTGTGCAGTGAAGTATCTTTGGATATATGTATTTCAACTGTTAGTTCAGGGGCATTTGCACCATACTCTATATCTCGGTGACAATTATCGTCATTGGGATATTACTACTGGGGGAGTTTATCGGGATACTATCGTGTTTGTCTTGTTAATTGGGAAATTTTGGATAATTTTCCGGATTCCAGTATATTAAACTAAAGACATATGTTTATCATGATATAAGTTTTTAAAATACGAATTCAAATTATACACAACAAAAAACATAAATATGTTAAAAAGTTCACAATTGAAAAAATTGAAAGTAAATTTTAATGTATATACAAATTTTTAAAAATCAAAACTCATTATCCAAGCTACTAGCTTAACTTACATATCTGTTATCAATTTCTTGCAAATTACTCCCCATTATCAATCTCTTGCAATGGCTCCTTCAAATTGCTCCCCATTTGCCTCATTGATAGTTCTGGAGCAGTTTTTATGTCAATAATATGTTTCTTTTCAAATTCAAAATGTTAATTTTGCTTTCAGATATCATATTACATAAATGTAACTATTTTGAGGGGCTTTTATCGTGATAATAATGGGATCCTTAAGATATCATGATAAATTCATTTCACCGGGATATTATTGGAGTTATTATCAGCAATAGAATTTATCGTGATAAAATAAAGATAATTCCAATTATGGGAGATAATTGTTGCTAAGTTCTTTGTACAAGGCATTCACTGTACTTTTTATACCCAAAAATAAAGGGATTGTCTACAAAGAGACTATTTATCTTTTGTACAAGGAGGTCACAACTATTCCCACTCATTAGAGATCGAATTGAACTGCTTGGGTTGAGTCACGAAGTCTGAAATATTTTTGTTTGGGAACTTTGTGGCAAATCAATGACACTTTTACAACCACCCATTTTGAAATCTAAGGTACAATAATGATTGTGACCTCCTTGTATAAAAGGTAAATTGTCTCTTTATAGACAATCCCCCAAAAAAATCAAATTGCATATACATAATCCCTTTTTAATCCAATCGGAGCTTTGCAGACTTTCCCTGAATATAAAAGAAATAAACTATATCAATCATTCAACCTAGAAAAAACAATAAGTTATGATGAAATATGTGCACATCATACAACATTCTAATGAGTATGCTATTTAAAAGTAGTACCTCTACCAAATTTCTTGCCTTCTAAATCCATCTTTGTCAAAGCCATGACAAAGTTCCATCCATCTTCTACTGGGGAAAGAGAGCAAAAGAGTTCTTGCAGTAAATAAGAAGTTTCCAATACGGAGCAAACTATCTAAAAGATATGAATATACAGGTCACTCCTAAGTTAAAACAAGCGATCAACAAAAAATTAATTTATGAAAACCTGCCCAAGGGTATAAACCAATCAATTTTGTCGACCTAAATACAAGTTTTGAACATAAGCAGCACAAATTATTCAATGTGGGAGTGCTTCAAATTTGATGCTTGGCACTTTGAAAATAAACATGAAAAGTAACCACTTTTGTCTTAATTTGGAAAGCTTCCGTTCTATAAAGACAAAAACACAAACCTGGAATCAAGCACTTGGCCCTGTGGTTAGGGCCTTAGGAGACTGCAACAGAACATACAAATTTTGAAACCCACAGGAGGCTGCAATAGAACATCTCAAAACCCAGTACTGACCTGCCCCAAATAGAAGACCCCATAAAACCCTTCACTCCCTCATAGAAACTGGGTAACAAACCACTTGACAAAGGCCACAGGAGTGAAAGGGAAGAACTTCAAAGTTACTTAAGACAAAATTATGTACATAACTTTTATTTTCCTTTCTAGTTAGTAACATAGGATGCCCTGGGAATATAAAGAAGACAAGGTGACCCAAGTTATGCCTCTACGCCAAATCCAAAAGAATCATACTATTTACTAGTAACATAAAAGAACCACAACAAATTGAAGATGTTATGCTCCAATCAAGTCTCAACTCTTCATATGGGCACCTCCAAAATGCACTCTTATTGTTCAGAGAAAATAACACTCATGCAATGACAAGATCCTTCATATATATTTGGCAATACCAATCCTACTTAAACAATATTCCCATGATCACTTCCAAATACGCCCGTTACCTACTCCTAAGGTTGAGGATTTAAGGGTTCCCTCACTTAGGCATCCACCATGATGTCTTTGAGGTGAATGTTAGGCTGGGATCAGAAAACTCAATTCTATACACATTTTTAAACATGTACTGTTTATCATCTAAAAATAACTTCCCTCTAGAAACATTTTAAGCAAATTAAAAAACAATATGCCTAACTTTCCATTGGCAGCGCTAGTAAATGAAGAGGCATTTGGATTCATTCTACTCAGTTTGATTCAAAAACATAAACTAGTTGCATGGAATCAACATGGGATTTCCTAAAGGACAAATACTTGCATAAAAAAGATGAATATAAATGAAGCTAGTTTGGTCTTCGCACTAATGAAAATGCTGACACAAGGAAGCTACACACTCCCCAGCCCTCAAATTGCCCTTAATAAGGCCGGACAAGCTTCATCCATGCGTGTTTCATTCCAACCATTGCTTCTACTGCTCATGCCTTCTTTATTTTTCTTTTTCTTTCTTTTTTTTGACACATGCTTATCCAGTACAGATTTCAATTACAAGCATGCAGGCTGAATTTGGCCAGGCTCAACAAATGAGTGGAATGGGCCACTGCTAGTGGTGTCTACATAAAAGAAGCTACATCAAGATGTCTAATCCTTAATTTATTATTTCTTTTTCGTTTCTCTCATAAACAGCACAACTGCTTCTCCGATGTAAAAAGAATAGCATCCCATAATTTTCAAATATTACTATCACTTCCTAACCCTCTCCTTTTATATGGCAAGTTCCAGCAATGTCGGCCACTCATTTTTGCACATCAAATTGCATAATAATCAATCAAGCCCATATAGCATGCCCCGGCAAGGGTACACTGTACAACAACTCCCTCATACAAAATTGCTAATTGAGGAAATTTTTATTTTTTATTCAAAATTTTGGGATCCATCTAAGTAGCAGTGAGAAAGGACATGGTTGGAAGTAGTGAGAAAAGATATGGTAACTTATGGCCTCATTGAGGGTATAGCCCTTGCTAGAGAAAAAGGCAGACCAAGATTTGTGTAGCCAATAAATGGAAAAAGGCTTTGATGATGATGATGATGATGATGATCTTGTTGATAATTGTCTTGATTCCAGTTTATATGGGATTGGTTTCTTATTAAATTGGGATATATTATCAACCCAACTTCCTAGTGTGTACGAGTTGTTTTTATGGGATAATGTCCAATTAGATTAAAATGGTCATGAGAGTTCATCTTTTATGGGATAGTGATAGATTCCATAAAAGTAAAGATAAAGTTAAGAAAAAAGTGAAGCCTTGCACGTACCACTTTATGGGGGTTTCTTTCTGTATATAAAATTGTATTGTAGACAGAGAAACTATGAGAAAAAGTAGGGACCATCACGTGGGTGCACTTTGGGTTTGTTTCTTCTCTCTATATTGGGATATTTTATAAAGCGAGAAAATGCATAGAAAGAATGGAATCTTTTTGGGGTTTTGTAAAGAGAGAAAACTTTAGAGATATGAGGCATTATGGGAGATTGAGTTTCTTCTTTGGTTCTGTCAAGTATGAGTCTCTTGTAATTTTCTTTCTTTGATTTAGTGAAAAACATCGATCGTCTTCGCCTGTGAATGTAGTCACATTTGTAACGAATCAGATAAATATTGGTTTTTTTTTTATGTTATTTCTTTCGTGCTTTATTTTTTCTTGCTTGTTATATTTTTCTCGTACTTTGTTTACTAAAAATCAACCTGTAGGGTTTAGAGCTTCCACGCACAACAAGTGACGACGATCTAGATGCTTTTCACTAAATCAAAGAAATAAAATTACAGGAGGCTCATACCTGAGAGAACCAGAGAAGAAACCCAACCTTTGATAATGCCTCCTCTCTACAATTTTCTCTCGACAAAAACCCAAAAAAGATTCTCTTCTTTCTATGCACTTTATCTTCACAGAATATCATAATATAGAGAGAAGAAACAAACCCAAAGTGTACCCACGTGATGGCCCCTACTTTTTCCCATAGTTTCTCTCTCTACAATACAACTTTATAAAACGCCCATAAAGTGGTATATGCAAGGCTCCACCTTTCCTTATCTTTATCTCCATTTTTATGGGATGTATCATTATCCCATAAAAGATGGACTCTCATGACCATCTTAATCTAATTGGACCTTATCACATAAATACAACTCATATACAATAGAAATTTGGGTTAATGATAAATCTCAAATTAATAACAAACTAATCCCATATAAAATAGAATCAAAACAATTATCAACAAATCTCAACCTTGGTTTGATTTCCAAAAGAGATTCTCATCGACCGTCTTCTCCACCACGCGCCCCCACAGGCGCTCACCTTGGCAACACATTAATTAAGTTCAAGCATAGCTTGAATTTCTGTAATGGAACTAGCTTTGTCAACATATCCGCAACATTCTTCTTAGTGTCAATCTTCAGTAACAAATATCACCTTCAGCTATTATCTCACGAATAAAATGATACCTGACATCAATATGCTTCATCCTTGCATAATATACTTGGTTCTTCGCTAAATGTATTGCACTCTGACTATCACAATAAATAATAGTCCCTTCTTGTCATAAGCCCAAATCACTTACAAGCCCTCTAAGCGAAATGGCTTCTCATTGCCTCAGTAACTGCTACGTATTCTGCTTCACTCATAGACAATGCAACCACAGTTTGAAGCATCGATCTCCAACTGATCAGAGCTCCTGCAAGTACAAACGCATAACCTGTAGTAGATATCCTACAGTCCCAATCACTTGCAAAGTCAACATCAACATAACCAATAACATTGTTACCAAACTTGTTACCTCTATCAAACACCAGACCCACTTCTGATGTACCCCTTAGGTAACGCAGAATCCATTTTACTGCAAGTCAATACACCTTTCCTAAATTAGCCATATCCTTGCTAACAGCACATAACGACATGAGAAATATCTAGACGAGTGCAAACCATTACACAAATGAGACTTCCAACTGCATTCACATAAGGAACATGTGACATGTATTCCTTTTCAGCATCTGCACTTGGAGATAATGCTGCCGACAATCTGAACTGTGCAGTAGCAGGAGTACCATTGGCTTTGAATTTTCCATCCCAAATCTAGCAAGAGCCTTCTCAATGTACTTCTTTTAAGATAGCCACAATTTACCAACTATTTATCTCTGCGAATCTCCATGCCCAAAATTTTCTTTACTGAACCTAAATCTTTCATCTCAAATTCTCTAGCAAGCTGAGTCTTCAATTTACTGATTTCTAAAGAATTCTTTGCTGCAATAAGTATGTCATCTACATAAAGCAATATATAGATGAACGAACCATTAGTAAATCTCTTAAAATAGACACAATTGTCGTACTTACTTATGACATACTGGTGTCTAATCATGAATGTATCAAAGCACTTGTACCACTTCCTAGGAGACTGCTTTAGTCTGTACAATAACTTCTTCGACTTGCAAACATAGTCCTCCTTGCCTTTAACGACAAACCCCTATGGTTGAGTCATATAAATCTGTTCTTCTAAATCTCCATGAAGGAATGCAGTCTTGATATCAAGCGGCTCTAACTCCAAATTAAACAATGCCACCATGGCTAGTAATACCTGAATGGAAATATGTTTCACAACTAGAGAGAAAATCTCATTATAGTCAATACCGTCTTTTTGTGCATAGCCTTTTGCAACCAAACGTGCCTTAAACTGATCACCACCAGTCTCAGGTGACTTATCTTTTTTCTTATAAATACATTTACATCCAATGGCTCTCTTACCAACTTCATAAGATCTCAAGTATGATTCTTCTGAAGAGACTCTATTTCTTCATCCATGGCATCACTCCACCTGCTACTGTCACTATCCTGTGTAGCTTCCTTAAAAGTAGATGGCTCTTGGTTTGCAGTAGCCAATGCATAAGCCACCACGTCCTCAAAACTATACCGCACCACTGGCTTTTTTATTTTCTTTCCCTTTCCAAGCTAAGCCTCTTCCTCATGTGGAGTAGCTCAACGACCTCCTCATAGTCAACACCTTCATTAAGTCTCTCACAGGGAATTTCTAACACATATTTTAGAGTATTTTTTGGAGTTGTCAACTCCACGTCAACTGCATCACTACT